AATTTTTGAGGCGAAATACCCAACAAGAAGTTTGTAAAAAAAGTAAGTTAATTGCAGATTCTTATATCAACTGCAAGGTAGCCAGGGTAACACTCCAAAGAGGAAATTTTTAATTTCGTTTTAAATTTTTTAAACACATTCTCGATTGTGTGACAAAATTGATACATAAAAGGGTACTAATTCCTACGTCTTGCAAAAGCAAAAACATATTGCTTGATGATAAAACATTGCAAGAAAAATTGCAAAAAGCTTTGCAAAAGGATTTCGAAATAAACAAAAAAAGTACTAAACCAGGAAATAATAATAACCAACGTTCGTTATTTTGAAGTGGATCGTGATTCGTCGTGATGTGGAAGCTTGTACAATAGATATAAAGACACAATACAAACATTCTGAGCAACTAAAATAGTTGCTAGAGCTCAAAGGAGGAAAGGCACTGCAAACTTTATTGCTCTGTATGTCACTGTTGCCTCAGATTTTTCTAACAAATTAAATCGAACTAAAAACTGAAAGAGAATGAAACTTTAATATGAAACCGGAAATGGATAAAATTTTGTAACATAAAATTCATAATTTATCAGGTGTATGAGGCAGTATTTAAGAGAACGAATTCTCAGGTAATTTGATGAGAAAAACATCATAAATATATATCGAAATGTATCGTTTCCATGATGTCAAGCTGGAACGAGTTCGTTAACTTACGTCTAAAACTGTAAATAAAGACAGTACGCTTTTTGTGTTATGAGGCTCTGTTATCTGTATCTTGAAAAAAATATATATTATAGGAACTTTTTTATAAATCGATGTGAAAATCACTCCTAGCACTAATAATTTTTGTTATTATTGCTAAATGGTGCATCTGCATATTTGAATAAAATGCCATTGTTAATCAAAGTCAAAAATCAACTTTAAACAGAAACAAAAAGTGTCTCTGTTTAAAGATCGCATCTGTCCAATAGTTCAGATTCTGCAAATGTTTCAATGCCTTGTTTGCAACATCAGCCTGATGGATAACATAACTTATAAAATATAAGCTAAAAATATGTCATGTTTTTAATTTCAGTACAGCCATTACTGTGGAAGATGAAAACGCGGCGAACGAAGTAACCCAGGATGAAATATTTGAAAATATCAAATTGCACAAAGAAGTGCTCAGCAATGTAAAGATGCAACCGTGGAATATGAGGAAAAAGCTTAAACTCGTTTTGCAAGCAAAATCATATATCAAAAAGCACGAAGGACAGCTACAGGAGCGATTGGCTCAAAGCCATTCTACCAAAGATATGTTGGCAAGATGGAACATAGTGGTAATTAAGGTAAAAGATTTTATAATAGAATAATGCAAAAATATCCATTTTAGTCCGGCGCCTGAAAAAACTTTCTCAATTTCAACCAAAATTCCTCATCAAGTTTGCTGACTTAATTAAAACCTTTTATAGGGCGCAAACCCTTCAACACTGAGAGATTTAAAAGCCGCATTTTGAACCCTCAATTTTATATAATCCTTAATCAAATTACCTGTAAGTATACCAACCCTTTATCGTCGCTCTCGATAACTGAAAGGTATTTCTTATTTGCCCGAAAATGTTCTGCTGTTCAGTTCCTAACAATTCAACAGGTAAAATCGATTTTTAGCTATATTGTATTTTATGTTATGAATGTTAGACTATTTATACACTTTTCTATGTAATGTATCTGTCGCGCAGATAAGGGGAGTTTCGGCCTCCGACAATCACATATTTTACTGTTTCGGAAAACTTTTTCAGGAACAAGAAAACACGTTGAATGCTGTCGAAAACTGCTTTGGAGCTGTAAAATACACCCAGCATGTAAAGATATATGTACTTATAAAGGCAATTTACGATCATCTAACAAAAAGGAAAAAGTATCAAAACTCGCATGTAACAGCAATTTCGCAAAGTCAATCACAAATATTGATGTTGCTTAATTTCGAATAATAAATAGAAGAATTAATTTATTCTTGTTTTCCTTGAAAAGAAAAATATGAACTCAAGAGTTTATTATTAAAGCACTAGACGATAACGAATTTACTTTTTGTCCAAGTTAACAATTTTGCACCTTACTCGTAATCAAATTTCCGAGCTTCTCCATCGATTAAATTCCTTTTTTAAAAATTAAGTGCAAACTGAATTAACTACTTGAAAGGCATTTTTCTAGAAAAGTTGGAGTACGGCTCGAAATTCCCTTAGTGCCTTTTTAAATCGTCCCTCATTAAGATGGATGGTTCACAGTCTGTTACGGAACATTTCCTCCACAACTTTCTTTTTGTTGGCTTTTTCTAGCGGGATCCTCATCTCTTCCCGGAACCTGAGAAATCTCCTCTGAGTTAGGTATTTGTTCAAATTAGGAAATTTATCTGATATTCTAATGAATACTAATGGCCACAGTTTAGTAGACATTTAGAGCGAACAGGGAACTTTTCATGAGAAGTTATACGTTCTGGTCAAAAGCAGGGAAGTTAAAATAAACCTTTGAAAGGCTTGGCTGCCAAGTAGTGATTCATTTTTATATTCAAAGCTGAAATGATAATCTGCTTAATTTGCTAAACGTTTGCAAACGTTCTAATACAAATAGTTTATTTTTACCTTTTACCGTATATGAACCAAAAAATGATTACATGATCACACATAAACCGAATTGAATAAAGTTTACTTGAAGGCATTAATGTTTATCTGATCTTTAGAAATGGCAGAAATGGAAAAGAGAAATAACAAACATGTCCATGTGGTTCATTCCATGGGAGTTGAAAATAAAGGAAATTGAATCGCACTTTGGTTCTGTTGTGGCGTCTTACTTCATTTTCTTAAGATGGCTATTTTGGGTCAACATAGTTATAGCTGTTGTGATAATTTCATTTGTGACTATTCCAGAGGTGAGTCAACAGCTTGTCTCTACAGTGCAAGTAAAACTTTGCTTCTGTAAATATATAAAACATACATGGTGACTCAAAATTGGCGTCATTCCTTTTAAGGGGTGATAGAGGCTCACTTAGGGAGTACGAGAAAAATATTGAAAA